AAAAAAAATGTGCAAAATGATGTAAAAATAAACTTTGTAATAAAAAAAAATCTCTGAAGATTATAGTAAAGACTAAATAAAACATACTATATACAATAATTGGTACAGTGCCGGGCACTTGGAGGTCTAGTGCTGGCCTGTTAGCAACACTTGGCAACATCATTGTTATCATCATTGCTATTTAATCTAAATAGTTTTAAGTTATAATAAAAGATTTATTTAAAAAAAAATTAAGGATGAAGAAGAACAGAGGAACAACACTTCAAGTCAAACTAAAGCCAAGAGATCCCTCCTCTTCCCAGTCAACACGGGGAGAAGAAAGGAAACCCCTCTGGGTCCTGGCCAGGGCTCCTGCCCCCAGAACAGCCTCTTCAAGGCTACTGCCACACTTCCCTAGGGGAGGACGAAGTACAACTCTGTCACCGCTGGAAGGAGCTCATGGACGATGGCCCTAGAGAATGTCAAGACCCTGCTGTGCAGAGATGCTGCTAGAATTCTGTCAGAGTCCTAGAGAGCCCTTTCCAACTGGGGGGCAGGTGCAGGATGTCACAGATACAGCACCCCAGCTTCCCGCAGACTTCTGAAGCCAGAACCTGCATTTTATTAACAAGGTACCAACTGTCAAGTATGAGCAGCATGATGAGGCTCCTGGTGACATCACCAGCATTAGTGACAGCATCCCTGAGAGGGGGATGGGGCCAGCTGGTCGAGGAGGACTCCTCTCCTTGGTACTGACTGGATGGAGCTTTCAGGCCATCACAACTGACCAAGCCACCTAGGCTTGGTGTTGAATGGCTCAATCTTTACCAGTTTACTTCTGCTACTAATTTAATCACACTTTTCCTGGCTTCAACTCACCATTAAGTATACCAATGCTTGCCTCACTAGTGACCCAGACTAAGGCATAATGAAAAGACATCCTCAAAGTGAGGATGCACTCCCCTGCTCCCTGCTCCAGCCACAGGCAGGGGTTCCAGCATTGCAGGGAAGGACTGCCTCAATCAGCCTGCAGGGTAATGATCTGTGAAAACAGCCCTTAAGTACTGACATATCATCAATCAAGGTGGGCTTCCTTTCTCTGTTCCCAAGTGGGAATCTCTCTCAGTTCTGCCCCAGGTCCTTTAAAGACACACACACATTCAGCACAAACGTCATTACCTGGTTTACTTCCAGAGACGCCAGGTGGCTTCTTGATTTCCGACTTCAGCTTAGATGCCAGAATAAATCTCCTAAACCACTCTTCTTTTTCCCGGCCAGTTCTTCCAAAGAGATACAGTATCTGATCTCGGGGGCCAGACCTTGCTCCCTCCTGAGGGTGCGATGGCTTCTTCGGTTCCTCCCCTCCCAGCTCTCTCTCAGCTGGTAGCTTTTCTTCACAAGGCTCCTTATCAGTCTGGGCCTTAGACATAAAGTCATCTTGTCGACCAAGTTCAATACAAATTGGGTATTTTTTATTCCAGATTCGTTTTCGAGCCAAACTTTTAGGTACCAGATAAATCTACAAGGAAAGAGCAATAATCATTTACATACTAAATAAAGAATTGGCTACATTGTGCCTTAACATTATGCACAGCACAGATGCAAACTTCAGAGTTTATTTCTGACAAACTTAATATATATTGTGAAATAATTACCACCCACCCAGATAAAAACTGGAATAATTTTTTCTACGTGACTTGTTTTCAAAGAAAATAGATTTTAAGAATATTTCAAGAGTTATAAATATCTGTAATTTTGAGGTGAAAGTAGCACAAAGTAGCACTTGTTTAGTGGATGATGTAAGTAATACTGGTCAAATAAACTAAGCTTGGATACCAACTCAGCTGAATGACCATGGACGAAACTTAAATTGGCAGGAAAAATGAACCTGTCAACCTGTATCCAGATGGGAATGACCAAATTTATCAACCTCAAGGTTAGAATATATTTACACGAAAACCATTTTAAATATTCCACATCCTGAGGAAACTTAAAGATTACTCATATGAGTTATGAAGAGAACAGAGAACCTACTGAAAGCCATAAAATTGCAGACTTTCGGCCCTCCCTGGTGGCGCAGCGGGTTAAAGCACAGCACTAAGAAGCTTAAGCCACTTCCACATGAGTTCAATCCTCGCCTGCCCCGGAGGATGATCCACATGGCACGGCAGACCTCTCCTGACCGGCCCGCTGCTCCCCTCAGCAGTGTACTTTGTTGTCAATCTGCCTGTTCTGCTCCCCACTCTGTTCCTGGTGAATCCTCTCACCCTCCACATCTCTGGCCTGTATCCCAGTTCTGTATAAATAAATAAATCTTTAAAAAAAAAAATTGCCGACTTTCAGAACCACTCAGAATTGAGGTAGAATCAGCCTTCAATAGGTACTCAGGTGACTCACACGCACATTAACCCTTGAGAGGGTACTGGTCTAAATTATAAAAACACCCCCTCCACACAGACACCCAAAGGTGTTTCATTTGTCTGAGTTTCCAAAATTAGCGGTGCTCACCTTGCTGTCTGAGAGGTCGTAGATTTTCTGGCTGATGTAGGTGACTTCTGGCTTTGTTTCATTGTAGCTTGCCCTCCTGGATATGTTTTTATTGGGCTTTGAAAGTCTTAAGGTTCCACCCTCAAGCCGAACAAAGACTGAATGTGTCAAGGTGGCATGATAAGTTTCTGGATCGTAATTGTAAATCTCATTCATCCATCCCTGATGGAGAAAAACTCCCATTAGTAAAATTAGAATAAACTCAAATCTGATTCAGAATGAAAATGATGACCCCTGTGGTATTCAGGACAGTGAAATCAAGCATGACAAAGAAAATGCAAAGGTAGGCATTAGACAATAGGATGAAAACGTGCCAAGAGAATACATAGTACCTCAAAACAAAGTGTGTTCTATGTCCCTCCCCAATCAACATAAATGTATCTATACGACATCTGTATAATGAACACTGAAATATCTGGACAACGCAAAGCCTACACCACCTGGAGCTGAGTTTACTGCTGTGATCAATACTCATCAGCGAACACAATTCCCTTCCCACTGTCCTTTTTCAGATGACTTGGATGGCTCAGATTTCTTTAAGTTTCTAGGAATTTTAGTTGATATCTTCCCATTTCCTGCCTTTTATCAATGTAAGATGGAGACGGTTCATGTACACTATTAAGAAATATGCATTCTGCTGCTGTTTAATAGTTTCCTGTAAATATATAAATATATTATCTTTTTAGACACAAACATCCTCACTAATATTTCCTGATATATATATAACCTACAGTTTTCTTTTTACCCAATTTGGCTGCAACAAATACTTTCATACACACACACACACACACACACACACACACACATAATGGGCTTACCACACCTAAAGTTCCAAAGGCAACTAGGTTAATATGATCTTGAAGCAGACCTTTTTTTTTTTTTTGAGTTGCTCTGGAGCTATTTGAAAGCCAGGTTGCATTTACTGATAAGTACTGAAACCAAAAAGCCATGGAACAAGGGAAGAGGGTCTGAGTGACTATTAAATTAGCAAATCATGGGCCTCCCTAGTGGCACAAGGAGTTGTCTCAGCAATATGAAGCTATCAGGAGCCACTGCTGCACGAGTCAGATCTGTAACATGGGGGTTGCCAGGAAAAGGTAAGGTTCCCGGTTCCCTGTCTCACCCAGAAGGAGGGTGGAGCTGAGCAGAGAAGAAAGAATCTAGAGAGGAGACTGAGGAGGAAAGAAAAAGGACGGAAAGACACAAGAAGACCTGAGAGTGGCAGATGGAGCAGAGAGATGTGTGAAGAAACTGTGCTTGCTTCTTCTAGGTCCTGGACTGGTTGAAACAGATGTGGGTAAGGGCGACTATGGCAGCGTTTATCTTGATGTTGCTCTTTTCCTCCCAGACTTGTCTGGCCATTTCTGACCCTTTTCTATGTGTCCCCGCTGTAAGGTGCTTTAGACTTGCAGTGGCCTTTCAGGCCTTGCTTTGGGCCAATCCCTTTTACCCATGAAGGGATGGGTATCTTTGGGTGTTTGATTTAGAAACTGCATTCTTTGTCTTTTCTGTATTGCACATTAATTGTAAAAAACTTCCTTTCCATTAAAGGTCTTACATGTTTTGTCTTGATGCCTTGGAGGGCAGAACCTATTTAGAGTAGGCAGGTTTGGGGGTTCAGACATGTCCCTCTCTCTGCCCTGTAACAGATCCCAAGCCAGGAAGCTGACCCACATTGCACAGCAGACCTCTCCTGAGGTCAGCAGTATGTACCTATACCGCAGCTCTTGTATGCATACATCTTAAAAAATAAAATAACAAATCACTATCATTGTTATTTACGAGCCATCTGATCAGGCAATCCCCAGCTGAGTTGCTCTTCATGAGCTAAAATTCTGTGTCCCTCTCCTGGCTAGGGCGGAGGCTAGCTAAGTGAAGACAGATGATATGTGAAACCTCTGTGGTGCCACCATTAACACCTATGCAGCGATGTTCAACCTTTATTTAATGACTGCTTTGAATTATGATCATCATAATTTGACATGACAGACAATTCTGCAATAATATCTTTGTATAAAAGAGTTTTCATTCATTTCCACCTATATAAGATTATTGTGGACAAAAAGAAACCAACAGAATAAACATTTTAGAGAAAATTCCCAGCATTACAGGTATGGTCCAGACAGGAAAGGCCGAAGGAGAAAAACGCAGCCCTGAATTAGGAAGCCACTCCCAGCCAAGAGGACAGTGTTGAGAAGCAACACGCGCTGCAGGGACTCCTCCTTGCCAAACTCCTGAGACTGAACAGGTTATCTAATTTATAAAGAAGACAGATGTAAGAATAAAAGGCTGTTTCTTGCCGATTATTTTCATTTTGTTTTTCCTACATCAGGAATTGTCCAGAGAAGCACTGTCAATGGAAATATTATAATGTGAGCCATAAGTGTGTGTCAGGCCAGTAATTTAAACTTGTCTTATAACGACATTAAAAAAGTTCAAAATAATTTTAACAATGCATCTAACTCAAAATACCCACAATATCATTTCAACATATAATAAACATGAAAAACAAATGGTGCTTTACATGTCTTGTTTGGTACCAAGTCTACAGATTCCAGCATCTTTTCACACAGGGCACATTTCACTTGAACCAGCAACATGGTGAGTGGGGGGCGGGGGGTAGGGGGAGCTTGTGGCCAGCCAAGGGCCTCCACTAGACATGCGCGTGTCCACTTTCTGGGCCCCAGCTTTTCAGAAGCAGACATGTGCCTCTACCTGAGCGGTCAAAGTCTCCTCTCCTCCAGCTGACACGTCTGACACATGCAGATCTATGCTGTCTTTTACTAGGTGATTCATACAATTAAATGAGAGAAGATACACTAAATGCTCTCCAGAGGAAACATTCTATTTCAGAATGTCAAGCCCTTTTAAAAAAAAACAAAAACAAAAACAAACCTTACAAGCAAGATTTAACAGAGAATAAAAGAAAAAGGTTAAAATTGTTTAAATTCTACAAGGACATTCAAAACACTCAAATTATGAAGCGGCGTTCATCCAGCCTAGTCTTTTGATTATTAGTGGAACAGAAGACAAGACCCACAGGTCCAGTATCAGCTCTGAAGCCCAAACAAATCTTGGGAGTTGGTCCATATAGTGCCCAACTAACTGTCCATTGTTCAGCTGCTTCAAACTTCTTAATGCTGAATTTCTCATCAAGTGGGGCATTTTTTTTTTAAAGTTTATTTTTACATCATTTTGCACATTTTTTTTTTTCATCTCCATTGTAATCCCCACGGGTTTCCCATCACCAAATCACCCCTGTGAAGTGGGGCATTTTTTACAACTTCACTTTGTCATGGGAATGTTTCTAAGTTGAGAGTGGAGAGCCAGCAGCTCACTCCATTTTAACAGTTAACCAAAACACTCAGAGATGCCCTCAGCTCACTCGAAAGCAACTCAGACAAGCCTCGCTTCTTTCTCAAGCTGGAGTTGTTAAACGGGACAGGGCCTGTGCTGGGTGGGAGACAAAGACCATACTCAGCTGGCTGCAGCTGTCTGGCCCACAGACTGGTCCTGTGATGCTGCCTGTAAAAGGTCAGGGGTTTCGCTTCCACTGGATTTAGATGCTATGTCTGGCGGAAAGTATAAACCACAATCTATAAAGGGACTCATTTAATACTTTGAGAGATTAAAAGCTATAATTAACCTTTTGCAAAATAATAAAGTCTGGAAGAAGTAGCACTGTGCTTACTTTCAGACACAGTGCCAATCAGGAGGTCAAGGCCAATGCCCTCTTGGTCAACTTGATGCTAAGAGGACCACAGAAAAGTGCTAGTCCCCTGCCAGAGGAAGTGATGGGCACGCTCTACCTTCAGTGTGCAGGGTGCTGGGCTGACACCCCACTAGCACGTGCCTGTGCTGGCCTCTGGCCGCCTGTCAGGTCCTCCGCATCACCCCTTCATCCATTCATCAGGGAAGGAGCAAGTTCTAAGCATGACAGGTCCCTGCTGTTGAAAACATCTTTGAAGCATACAAAAATGTGATTACTTTTCTTTTGTCCCCAAAACTATCTCATTGGCAGGATATTCTCTTTGCCAGGGCCAAACCTTTTTGACATATTTATTAATGGTTTACAACTGGAGTCACCTGTCAAAACACCACAGATGACAAACTTCAGAATAAGGCAGTGAGGGTACTGAGCCTTATGGAACTTGATACAAGTTTGATTTTACCCATGAAAATCAAGCAGACCTACAGACACGTAATTTCTATTCTTCATGCTATCAGTCAACAGTCAAACCAAACGCTGCTCAAAGACCCCATTAAGAATATTTTTAAAAGCCCATTAGGGGAAAGAAAGGCCATTATCAATACCATGCACAATCTCCAGCTGCCTGCTCCAAGGTCACCTTCAAGTTGCGCCTTGAGAAGCACTGGAGCCAGGGCTGAAGCCACAAGCTCTGCTGGAAACGGCCTTGGTCTCTGCGTGCCCTACCCTTCGGGGAGGCCCACCACACTCAGGGTACCTAGAATTCTTTTCAAAATGCACTGATAGACAGGAAGTAATAGAGCTAGGAGACAACCTTCAAATTAGACAGAAAAACATCATGGTATCAGCTAAAAGCTCAGAAATAGTCATGGTGTTTTATGATTATACATGAAAAACATTAAGCCACATTAACAAGTGCTCAAAGGATATATATAGATCAGAAAGCAAATAAATTAGCTTCCAAGCTTTTTAGATCATACATACGATCATTCAAAAGTTTTTTAGTGCCACCCACAATATATACATGTACTCATAAATTATAAACATGTCTCAATATAGCTTATAAATATTAAAAAACAGAAATAAAGTGCAAAAGATGAGCTAATTAGCATCTTTTTGCTGTCTTCCCGACAGCTGTGTACAGTCTTCAGCTGACGCCTCATGGCAGTTCACATACGTAGAGTGAGCTCACACTTAATGATAACGCACGGGGATCCATACTTCATATACAGTCTTGTTGATCATTTCCAAGGATGCCGACCCAGGATCAATACATGGTATGTTAAATATCAGCAAGAGAGAAAGCGTAGATGCAAATAGAGCTTTCAATATATACTACATACATATATACTAGATACGTGTGTGTGTGCATAAAAATATAAAATCTTCTTGGATAATGTCTGCACCCATCCATTTTGGAGCCACTGAAAGAAGCAACAGAACGAACCCGAGT